AAAAAATAGATCAGAAATATTTTTATAGTAAAATTCAGTACAAATTTGTACTGAATTCCAAACGGTTTAAGGGATACATTAGTAATCATAAATTATGCTTGCATCTTAATTCACTAAATTCAGGGTATAATATAATACGTAAAATATATGACAATAGCGTGCTCATATGATCAGTTGTCGATAGTCGTTAGCATCCCTACACTTCAAGACCTGAAATGACCAAATAACAAATGATTAGCCATTGGTCATTTCAAAACCTAAATGAACTTGGAAGATAGTTTAATATGTTAATTAATATTTTGATAGCTTTTAATCAATCAGAATTGGCTGCTAAACAAAATTAAATTTTACCAAAATATAATTAATAATCATAGCTATATATTAAAGTCAAAATTTGGCTAAGTCAATTACCATTTGTGTCTTAAGCTGTTCGAGACAATAAATTGCATATATTAAGAGGTTTCAGAATTAAAAAAAAAATAGCGTATTTCCGAAATAAGTGTTAGTTTAAAAATTTTATTGGTGTATCAAAATTTTGAAATCGGAAAATGAAATGGGAATGTTTTTAACGAAATAAATAAACTTTTCAACGACAAAATTATTATTACAAATTTATTAGAAAATGAAATAGAGTCGATACATCGCTTATTTGTAAATAATTGCGTTATCTATTTCTATCAAAATTAGATTCTGCACGTTAATTCTGAAATCCCTTCTGAAATTTTTATATAAATTGAACAGCATTTTATTAACTCGCTTCCACATTTTACGTTTACACGAAAATTTTTTCGTGTAAACGAAAATGCGGAAGCGAATTAATAAAATGTTGTTCAATTTACATAAAAATTTCAGAATATATGCAAATACAAATTATTATTGTCCCGAACAACTTAAGGCATAAATGTTAATTGACTTAGCAAAAGTTTGACTTTAATGTATAGTTAGAGATGTTAAATCAGTTAGATTTTACTATCTAAAAATCCAATATATATATATATATATATATTTTAAGCCTGGCCTCGGTCTTTATTTAATAATTATGCATTACATTGTTTAAATGGGTTACATGAATTATTGCAGGTAGACTAATTTATCTTCAGCCCAAAACTCTACTAGAGTGGGCTACCTGGCCTCCACCAGATTTAGTTTAGCTATAGAAAAGCTAATTTTATTACCGCATATGCCTATTTATTTCTCCGATTCGGAATTTTAAAATAGAAATAGGATCTGGAGATTTGAGATTCTCCAATTGATCATAATAAGTTTCAAAATTAAAATCAGAGAATGAAAATAAATAAATTATATATTATCTATTTCTGTCAAAATTAGATTCCCGCACGTTAATTCTGAAATTCCCTTACTATTAGTAATTTACAAAACGAGCAACTATTTAATATTTGCCATATATATCGAGTTATATCCCTGCCTTAGTCAATCTCCAAAAATGCTCTGGAAAAAGGAGGGATATAACCCAGGTATGAGTGTATATCTTTGTTTATTTGTTTTGTATTAAAGACAAAAAGAAACCAAAATTTCACTGATTTACAGATTTTACAGATTTTATAGCGCAAATTATATGAACACAATATAAAAAAGTTATATTGGGCTCGTACCAATAATTAACAATCAACACGAATTTAAGAAGGCTTTAAATGGTTAATCGATACTTAGAAATATTAAAAAAAAATTATGATACGGCACACATGAAATTACACAATTATGAGAATTATTTTTTAAAAAATATTCAAAATGCAATTGCTTGTTTATTACTGAAGTTCTATGCCAAATTGTATTAAGTCCGTTTAATAACAATAACAGAAAAACTTTTCGTATTTTATAAATCAGTAGCCGTAGCATTTAATTTAAAATTATCCCAATGTTTTTCAATTTGTTAAACAAATCATAACAGTAGTTAGTTTAACATTAATTAAATATACATTTACATTGAACGCGACCTAGGATCAGGTTGCCATAACAATTGGGTTTGTAACTAAATTATTAACAAGTAACAAGTGTCACATCGCATAGATGTCGCATAGATACAGTTGCTGTGAGTAATGGCCGCAGAATTTTTTTTTAATAAATTAAGTTGAAATAATCATGTGATTACATTAATCTATGAGTTTTTATTGAAATCATCGATTAACGTTTCGGAAGATCCAGTAAACTTCGTAGATAATTTCTTTAAATGCTTCTTTTATTTGATATAAGGTGCTTCGGGATATTCCCTGCAACAGTTTTAACGCAACAGAATGATACGAATATGGATGACATGATTTTGGTGAGCTTATAATAGTTAAAACAAATATCAATAAAGACGATGACAATTTAGATAAGCAATAAACGGTCTTATTTTTATGATTTAAAATTTAATATTCTCTATTAGTTAACTGATTTATTTATATTTCAATAGGCACATACAAAGAGAAGTAATTCATTTTAGCATATTAAATATTATTATTATTATTATTTAATTAGAGCACGAGTTGTAGCATTCAGGGTATATTATTATATGTGCATTAATAATAACACGAAATATTGTAGCCGAATAGTTAGGCAATTCAAAGTTAATTAGTTGTTTAACGTCGAAATACTTAGCACAGCCAGGAGAGGGGGTTAATTTAAACAAACATAATAAAAAATACAACTCAAAATTAATATTTATCTCAAATAAACGTTTAGTTTTATTGATGTTACGATTAATCTAAACTATATATTAAACATGAATTTTTTTGTTTTTGTTTTGAAATACAATTGGTGCTCGAGTAAACCATTCACGGCCATTAGTATGACATGAAATACAAAGTGGGTAAAATATCTTAAACTGTGATTTTAATTCATTAGATGGTTCAATAATACCATCTTTTGCTCCACACCAATAGCATAAATCAACTTCTTTTAACCAACATGAGTAATAATTTCGTTCAATAGGTAAATCACAACTACTATTTTGACGTATTTGAAGTTGTTGAAAGGTATATTTTCATTTAAAAGAATTGGAGACCCACAGTTATAAGAAACATTTCAAAATATTGTATAATTGCTT